TTTATGGTATGAAATGAATACGCAAAACAAAATTGTAGAATTTAATTAATCTATTTGTTTAGGCATTTGGGCTGATGACAGTGACAATGAGGGCGAAGGCGAGAGCAGCGGTCGACGCGGTAGACGTGGTCTGGGCGGCGGCTCATCCAGCAAGCCCAAGGATTATACGGCTCCGGTGAATTTCGTAGCCGGCGGCATTCAGCAGGCCGGTAAAAAGCAGAAGGCAAAGCAGACACAAGAGGAACACGCGGAGAGTGACGAGAATGGCAGTGAGGCGGATGACAGCGACGAGGCGCGACCCTCATTTGGACGCAAACAGCCACAGCTGATGGAGGACAGTGATGCCAACAGCTCGGACAGCTCTGCGGCGGAGGAGGTGCCGCAACGCCCCAAAATGACCGCCAACAGCACTGCCGGATTGCGACACAAGTCACACATTGCCAGCAATCGGAATGTGGGCGCCTGGGAGCAGCATACACGTGGCATTGGTGCCAAGCTCTTGCTCCAAATGGGCTACGAGCCCGGCAAGGGTCTGGGCAAGGACTTGCAGGGAATCTCGCAGCCGGTGCAGGCGCATGTGCGAAAAGGACGCGGTGCCATCGGTGCCTATGGCCCAGAGACGGCAGCCAGCGTGCCCGGCCAGCCGAAGCAGCTGAAGATGGAGGACGATGCACAGAAGGAGGCCAAAGAGACCAAGGAGCAGCTCAACAAATGGAAGAAAGGTGAAGTACGTGAAAAGAACACCAAGCGCTACTACTACAAAACCGTGGAGGAGGTGATTGCCAAGGGCAAGAAGTCGGATCATTTGCTGTCCGAGAAGCTAAGCAAGCGGCTGGGCAATGTGCCAGTCATAGACATGACCGGACCGGAGCGCCGCGTGCTCAGCGGCTACCATGCCTTGGCCCAGAACAAAATCACGCCCGAGGAGACGCTGTACGACACCCAGGCGGGCGATGAGAATGCCGAAAAGGCCACACCAGTCTCCGTGTTCAGCATGCCGGAGCTGACGCACAATCTACAGCTGCTCGTGAGCCAATGCGAGCAGGAAATCATTGCGATTGACAAGGAGGAGCGCGAATGCTCCGACAGACAGGCAGCGCTACAGCACGAACAGAAACAGCTGCTGGAGCTGGTGCAGCTAGAGCGCAATCATATGAACACGCTGGAGGCAGCGCTGCTGCGGCTCGAGCAGCTGAGCGAGTCGCCCGATCTGAGTCTTGATCAAGCGGAGCGCCTCTTCCTCGAGCTGCAGCACGACTATGCAGCCGAGTACAAGGAGTTCGGGCTGGCCGATCTGGCGGCGGGCGTCATTGCGCCGCTGGTGAAGCGTGAGCTGAACGATTGGCAGCCACTGGAGCAGCCCACACAGCCGCTGCAGCTGATCAAGCGCTGGCGTGGCATATTGCAGCAGCAGGATGAGCTCGAGCTGGCGGATCAGCAATCACGCAACGTCTTCGATCCCTACTCCTCGCTCATCTGGGCTGGGGTGATGCCATCGTTTCGCGAGTGCGCCGCCAACTGGCAGCCGAAGCAGCACGCGCCGATGGCAGCGCTGCTCGATGCTTGGGCCCCGCTGCTGCCCACCTGGGTGCTGGACTCGGTGCTGGAGCAGTTGGTGCTGCCACGGCTGACGGCGGGCGTCCAGGATTGGGATCCATTGACCGACACGGTGCCCATTCACAGCTGGATCCTGCCCTGGCACGGCATACTAGGCGCCAAGCTGGAGGAGTCCATCTATCCACAGATACGCAGCAAACTGGGCGTGGCACTGCAGGCCTGGTCGCCGCAGGATCGATCAGCGCGCGCCATGCTCACGCCCTGGCAGTCGGCGTTCCCGGAGGAGCAACTGGTGCAGTTCCTGCTGCGCTACATCATACCCAAGCTGCAGGCGGTGCTGGCGGAATTTGTCATCAATCCGCTGCAGCAGAACCTGGAGCTGTGGCATCAAGTGTGGGAGTGGCACGAGCTCATACCCGCCCATCACATGGCCCAGCTGCTGGACAAGCACTTCTTCCCCCGCTGGATGCAAGTCCTGGTCATTTGGCTCAATCAGGCGCCAGACTTTACGGAGATTTCGCGCTGGTATGCCGGCTGGAAGAGTATGCTGAGCGAATCGATTCTGCGCGAGCCCTGCATCAAGGAGCATCTGCGTCGCGCCTTGGACATGCTGCATCGTGCCACAGATGCTGTGCTCCAGCCCACAGCAGCCCCGCCTCCACCCATGCCACCAGCACCAGCCCCAGTCCTGCTGACGCCCGTGATGCTCGTCGATGTGGCGCCGCCCGCACAGCTGGAGTTCAAGGAGCTCGTCTCGCAGAAGTGCGCCGAGCTGGGCATCATCTTTGCCCCACTGCCCGGCCGACGGGAACTGGGCAAACAGGTAAGCGATGAAGAGGAATGCGTCAATAGATAGTTTTGAAACTATCCAAAATTGGATTATATCTAGAATATCTTGTTACCGTGTCTATGAGGCAATTCTAGCCTCATTTGTTTCTACTTTGATCTCATTTATTTATGGATTCTATATATTATGTTAGATCTTCTCATTTTTTGTTTTTAGAAATTGTCCTTTAACTTGTAATACTTCTGCCATTTCATATTTAGTCATAGAACTATCGAAGCTCACATTGAATCAATTTATATAGATTTCCATGCCATCTAAATATTCAATATTCGAAATTTCGGAGTAAAATTAAAATTAGGTGTTATATAATTCAAGGTATAATTCATATTACCTTTCAATCCGAGCTCAGTTTGAATTGCATCTAAATTTAACTCCGAAAAAGCTTATTCCATTTGCATTTAGAAATAGGCTTTAACTATGAAATTTAAATTACTTTTTATTAGATCCTATTGTATTGGCTTACGCGAAACTCCAAGATCACATTTCGAACTCCGAAATCCAGTTGAATAACTCCGAACTATAATGTCTTAAATTGGAGTTATTATTTATGATTTGTTATCTTTAATTGGAATTATAATACATATATTATTGTATTTATATGACTCTATCATATTATATGTATTATAACAAATTTTGATCGATATTCCGCTAATTAATTTGAATTCGGATTATGTAGCATAATTTAAAATAGTTTAAATTTCTATAATCCAGTGGGATTTTTTATTTATTTATTTTTTTTTTTTTAATTTACAATATATGTATATATTATACACTATAAAAATATTACAACTTATCTATAAATAGTAAATATTTATATAATATATATTTACACCCATATTAATCGACCTTATTTGTGTTATTTTCAGATCTACCGCGTGGGCAAACTCTTTTGCTATATCGATCGGAATGTTTGCATGTTAAGCGATATCAGCTTTACGAATTGGCAGCCGGTGGGACTGAATCATCTACTGGAACGAGCGCAGACGGGCATCATCTAGAGAGAAGGCATTAACTAGTCTTCATTATTGTTTAAGAAGTAAAGTTTAAGTAAACCCCTATGAATGTGGGGCGATTTCGATTGCCCATAATTTCAAATAATAATTAAAAGTCTTCAAGATGAAAGTGTACTCAATATTTACATCTGTTCATGTTCAATAGGCCAACTGCCTCGGGCGGCAATACGAGTAGCAAAATTAGTTGTTCATATTTTGAAGCACTTTAAATGATTATCTGTGTAGTTGTTCACTTGCTGGAAGTGCTTCTGCCTTCTGTGCGGCAAAAATATTTCTTCATATCTTAAAGCACTTTGGTTGTTTATATATATTTATTCAGTTGCTCGCCTCTGCGAGTTATCTATCCGTCTAACCGTAGCTCAGGTAGCCTAAACCATGAGAACTTTGGTATGAAATTTAAAAAATGGTAACTTGTTTAAATTAAAATGATTTTAATTAGAATCAGATTATAATCAGTATAATCCAGCCATATACAGTATATATATATGTATGTATCTAAGCCTGTTTGGGTCTTTGTATTTAGGCAGAGCTAGAGCCCAAAACTGAGGCAACTAGCATAAAGATGCATACTGAAAAATTTGCAAATAAGAAATAACTATGAAATAATATGTATGTATTGTATACACTTTAACCAAATTAGATCGTGACACTTGAAATGGTTATATATATTAAAATACATATTCATCCAAATTAAATTCTTAATCCATTTCAATTTTATATGGCTTCGCTGTTTTGAGTAAAAAACAAACTACAAACTTTTGTATTCATACTCATACCGTTTGCTAGTAATTATTTGTACTAGTAATACTCTAGATTAGATTACGTAACCCTTTTTACATACATATTCATGTTTAGTTTCAAGTCGTAAATGTCGTCAGTGTTTGAGCTACGACTCTACTGCTAGCAACTGCTCTTGGATTCTCTAAAATTGAAGTCAGATAAGTTAGCATAGGTTTACCTATAGCTTGGGGCTTGTACTGCATTTCAAAGTCTAATAAATGATCATTTTATTATTTTTATTTTTATTTTTCTTATATGTATATATACAGTGGAATCCGGTTATAGCGAACAGAAGGAGCAAAAAAAATATTTTTTTAATTTTTTTTACGGGTACCATGTCTGTAAAGGGTTTTATCATAAAAAAAATTAATTTTGTAATCAAAATAATAATTATTTATATATATTATTTCAATAACATGGTATCGAAACATTTGTGTGACGTCGGCATTGCAGCTTGTCTCTCTCTCTCTCTCTCTCTCTCACTCTCTCTCTCTCTCTCTGTCTTGGCAGCATTTGTATCGCTGCTACGTCCACTGATCACTGATAAATAGAAACATATATATATTTCTAACAGCGGATTTTAATGCTTAAATTTGTTGTCATTATTTCGCATTTTTTCGGCATTTTTTATCCGGTGAATGACTCAAAAATATGAAAAAAATCGGAGACGTACTAAGCGGAGGCTCTTTCATATAAGTTTGTATGGGGACCAACCAAGACATCGAATTTTCGTCGACATAACCGGTTGGACGCTTTAAGCGGAGTCGTTATAACCGGATTCCACTGTATATCAAATCATAATTAATTAGCTACCGAAACATTATTAAAATATTTTAGTATTTATTTACGCATCTCAAAAAATATCGGGTCTATCAAATTAATCAGAGTAAAAACTGCTAAAAATAAATAATAATAAATATATTAAACGATATATTTTTTAAATTTCACATGCAATTTCGACTTAACCATAATTGTTATAATAGTACTTCAACAAATGAAATGCCCAGCCATCTAAGCCCTTGAGACTTTATTTCGATTATTATTAATCAAGAACGGAAGTTGAGGGCCTGGAATACGTATCGCTATAAAAAAAAAAAAAGTTTATGAAAAAAATTTGAAAATATAATGAGACATACACTACAAATATTTGAGCATAATGTAACATTGAGCATTCCAGCTTATCTCTTAACTTATCGCAATCATATAATACATATTACTTGAGTCCAGTCTGCCCAAAATAATAAATAATATATATATATATATATATATATATATATATGTTAGTGTAAAATGTTACAAAAAGTCGATATGTTATTTATGCTTCGGTAGGTATTTGGCTGTCATATCTCAGAAAGGGTTTTCCGCATAATCAATTAATTTCGCCCTAACACATATATGGAACCAGCTGAACCTTATATCGATAAGACTCTTATATGTAACTTCGTTTAATCAACCTGTTCAGAGTAAAACTAAGAGTAATGTTTACAAGAAAATTAAATAATAAGAATGACATGTCATGTCAAACATTTTGACGAGTGATTGTTTATCGATAAGCCGTAATATGTTGCTAATGGTATAAATTTCACTGTGTCAAAAAAGAAATCTTATCAAAAATGAATTGATATGCTATTACTTATCGATAAGCCACATACAGATCGTGATATGACAAGCTACTTGAGGTAGCATACCTCATGATAATCTTATCATTTTAGAAAGTTGTTTGTAATTATAATGACAATGTATCGATGGCTATTGCTTATCAGATTTACCTAATACATATATAACACCGATATATACTTGTCCGTTAATCAATTAAATTAATGATTTTTCGCTAAAACACTCAAATAAAAGAATACGTACATCAAACAGTAGACGTCAGATAAAGCTTATCAGAGATAAAGAACTTCAATTATTATGATGAGGTACTGATAAAAAGCAAACACGCAAGTAAGAGGGATCTAGTCGGCACTGCTCGACTAGAAGATACCCTGAACTCTGCCAAGAGCTGATATGTTAGGCATTCTGAAATCAAAATATATAAAGTCTGTGCAAATATTTCAAAAAACTCCATTGAAACTGACCCTAAAAACCGATGTCTTATCGAACTTTATCGATACAAACACAATTCGGATGAGTTATCTTTCGATAACTGACATATGCATTTATAATTTTTTATCTCTAGCTCTTGAAGCTGATGAGATCGCTGCTATCATAGGCTCAAAAAGGTGTACGGTAGGGTCGACTGGTGGACGAATGAAGGGTGAACGGCCGGATGAAGTGATGAACGGAAGCTCAGACAAAAAGACGAAAGGGCAGACATAGAGACAGACGAACGATTGAACGGACAGGTGGTTGGACAGATGGATGCATGGACGATCGAATGAACGGACAGTCAGATAAACATAACTCAGCCCGGTCAACAATATATACATATATTTAACTTATGAAGTCTGCCACGCCCTCTGCTGCCTTTTACATAAATTTTCACAAAAGCTAATATACCTCGAATACCCAAGAAAGTAAAAAAAAAATATATATATATATATTTATGTACATAATATATATAAATTATGTTTATATAGTTTCTCATCATTGTCAATGTTTAGTCTTTAAGAAGCTCCAAAACTTCTGGTTCGACTAAAACACAAAATTATACAGTAAAATGTCTTATCAAAAATAATAGCTTCTCGCCAAATGTCAAATGGTGTGTTTAACCATGTTAGATTAGGACTTTAACAGAAATTACAATCGCGCGACGCGTCGCTTATCACAATCCTCGCGCGCTCTGCTGGCATACGAAGTCTCTATACTCCAGTTGAAGTCGACAGTTCGCGTTTATCACTTGTCGCTGCTGGTCATTTTAGAGAACGGAAAGTGCGCGGCCCTAGCCTAATGAAATATCTAGCTTGAAAGAATACAAAAACAAAAAATATCGTTTCTCTTATAAAAAGAGTCTGTTCAACCAAACGGGCATAGGCTTCGGTATTTGAATGATTTAAGTTCATCCAATAACACCTTATCAACGGCTGCCATAATTAAGCCCAAATAAAGTGCTCAAGCTATAGCCAAAAAATATATTTATGTATATACATATATCATCTCTTTTTTTTTTTGGCAATTATCAGTTTAGTTTCGGTTTAGGCACGTCTTGGACACATCGTGTTCAGCTAGCCCAAAGAAAAGTGTAAAATTACAATGAATATTTAAGTAAATTATATTCATTTCTGATTCTTCGAGTTGTAACAAAAGATATCGCTGTAATAATTGTGCACTCGAGTTTGTTGCGCGTTTTCGCGGTTTGTGTGTTTCGAGCAACTTCAAACATTCTACATCCATGGCTGTACAGGTCAATAAGCGTAGCTTATTTTTCTTGCTACTTTTGGCATTTGTCATTTTTCTTGTGGTGCGCAATTTGAAGGAAACCCAAAAATTGGCAACAGCCTTGGAGAGGCACAAACTCGGCCATCGAGTCCCGTCGGAGGCGGCCACCGTGGCTAATCCGTTCAGACCGAGCACGGAGGAGCCTTTGTGGCTATCGCCACGCACCCAGGAACTTCAAGAGCTGCTAAAGTGTCGCAATCGCCGGCTGCGGCTACAGAAAGAACAACATGGAAAATATTGGGTGGTCCAGAACCTGATTAGCGGACGACTCAGTCGTCGCATGGCCTGCGCCGAGTCCATAACGTACACAACCAATGGCGATTATACGTTCTTCGATAATCTCGAAACAATTGCCGATCGGTGAGTAATGCGCCCAGATCTAAGAATTTCAGTTGTGAAATATTCTCTTTATCACAGCTATTCCGTATTCAATTTAATTTTAATACGTGCTCTGACTATGCATTTTTTTTAATAATATAAAAAAAACAAGTAAGAAAGCTCTAGTCGAGACTGCTCGACTACGAGATCCCCTGAACCCTTGGAGCAATAGATATTTCAATACTTTTTCGCGACTTTCAGCTTACACAAGAAACACGCACACACACACACACGCACGTACGCAAACACAGGCATACATACACACACACGCATACAGACACACATACACACACACACGCATACATACACAAACGCATACACACACACACATACACACACACATACACAAACAGATACACACACAAGCAACCATGCATAAACACGCATGGGCTGCAGTGTGCGCTTACTATGAGAACTTAATTGTTTAATAACTTTTTTTATGGACGTACGATCTTCATGAAACTTTTAGATTATGATTATAACATGAATATGCATGTAATTGATAAAGCACAAGTCTCTAGTATTTGAAATACGCTTTTTACAAAAGTGAGGGTGAGGGGGTGAATTTAGAGGTGGGGGGTAAATTTTAACAAAAACCGAAATTGTATAAATTGCATATAAGCATACATTAAAAATTTGGAGACTCTAGCAATAAAGGTGTAGAAGATATAATTTTATAACTGGGTTTCGATAATGGTTTTTATCGATAAAAAAATATCGAGATGAGTTATCGATTTTTAATGATAAACTTGATATGCGCGCTGTAATTACGGACATTTTAAAAAAAATTTGAAGTCTCTAGCTCTTATATCTACTGAAATCGACGCGTTCATACATACGGACAGACGGACAGGGCCAAATCAACTCAGCTCGTCACCCTGATCAAGAATATATATACTTTGTGGGGTCTGCCACGCCTCCTTCTCCCTGTTACATACATTTCAACAAAACCATTATACCCTGATTTCCCATTGAAAATGGGTTCAGGGTATAAAAAAGTTAATGTTTTTCGCAAATAAAAAAAAAATATTATTTTTGTTAAATTTTTTAAACTATAACTTTTTTCTATTCATTTTTTTCAACTTTTGTATTCATATTTTACTTCAGATGATATTCTTTTCATTATTTTTTTCAAGTTTTATTTAAAATTATTTATATCAACAATTTATTTGAAATAAAATTTGTATTGTTCAGTCTGTTCTTATAGTCAATTTTTTTATCAAAATATTTTTATCACCATTTTTTTTTTTATTCAATTTTTGTTTATATTTACTTTTTTGTTTATTTTTTAAATAAAAGGTTTTTATATAGTTTACTTGTTCAGGCTATAAGCAATCATATGGATATTTCTCCACGACAGTCTACTTGTTGTAGGGTGAGAGCCCCTTTGGGTTTCGTAATTATCTTGAAAACACATATACATCCTCTCTTGTGACCTATTTTATTCCTATTACATCCATATTATTGGTCAGATAATAAGAATTTTTTTACTAGTCTACGAAAAACAAAATTAATGCGAAGTCTATTCAACAATTCTGCAACTGTAGGAATCAGAAGATGTCCATGTAGATTTTACTACTCATACTCATGTGGATTTTTATCAATTTGAACCACCTCCCAATGTGCGTAGATACATTGTATATTTTGTGACGGGGCTTGGCTTACACTGGCATATAAAAATATTAAAATTTGATCAATTCTGAGAGGTATATAGTAAATAATTTAAATATTCATAATTTCCCACTCCCTATTCAAGTTTTGTAAACAGATTTTCAATTGATAATACCAAAGAGAGGGTGTTCTGTCTTCCTAACTTCCATATCATTCTATATAACTCAACTTCTTTCACTCATTCAAATTATTCTGCATACTTACAATTCTTAGTCATACTTGGAGAATTTCATTTAGATAGTACTTCTAGAACTAGAAGTTATTCAGCAACTAATTTTCCATAGTGCTGCAGCAGCAGTGATCAATGCACGTCCTTGCGTATGTATATGTGAGTATATATCTGCATGTCTGTATACCTTTAAAGAGGTATATAAGATGCCATGAATGATTCAAAAAGCTGATGATGCCTACTTGTGTATAAAATTCTCATTCCAAACTGGGAATTTGAAAAGCAAATGACAATATAATTAGTTTATATTATGCAGCGAACTGATCGAGAATCGGAAATGTGTAATCTGACAAGGAATTTTTACATTACTCAGTTTGTATGGAGTGCGATCGTATCGTATGATGAGATTTTTTCAGGCAGTGATAAAATAAATATGTATTAAAATATTCAGTGGATAATCTTTACGTTAGTTCTAATTTTATATTATTTATATTATTATCTATACAAAAATAAATAAATATTAATGTTACACTCTAAATATAAATATTGTAATTTTAAATCCAAGTATTGACAATTTATATAGAAATTTCTAAGATCCAACTAAATTGATTATAAACACATGCAAAATAAACAAATAAAAAAATACGGTTTTAAATTTCGGTTAGATTTAAACATTTTTAAAATTTTTAAATGTTGAAAAAAATATGGAAATATTATAATTTCTGTTAGATTATAAAATGCTACTAGATTGATCAATTTGATTTATTAATATAACTATTTTGTTGCTTGGATCGCGTTTAAATTTAATACTTTAAATTTCAAAGCTGAACTATGAATATACTTTTTATTTATTTATTTTTTTTTTTTTAACAAATTTTTGATCTACCATAAATCCAACTCTTTGCAGGTGGTTCGGCCCCATTAGCTTTGCCATACACACACCTGGCTATGATTTGAATACCACACTAGATGCTATTCAGTACGTGAGAAACTGTTTGCCTGGCAGCCAGTTGATCAGCGACTTTGTCAGCTTTCACGTTTACTTCTCCAATGAGCACATGCCCGAGTATGTGCCGTTCGATGAGGAGGAGGCCCTCAATTGGCCCTACCAATGCGTGGATGAGAATGGCACTCTGTTGGCACCGCCCTATATGCAGAACCGAAGGCCCATGTACAAGGTGCAGGCCAATCTGACGTATCCCATCAATGTGGGCCGAAATATCGCTCGCAAGGCTGTCAATACGCATTTCATATTCGCCTGCGACATCGAGCTCTTCCCCAGTTTGGGGCTGATCGAACAGTTCTTGGACATGGTGCATCGCAATAGAAGTGTCTTGGCCCTCAGTCCGAATCAGCGGCCGAGAGTCTATCCTTTGCCGGTCTTCGAGATAGAGGAGAACGAGCAAGTGCCCAACGATAAATTGGAATTGTTGGATCTCCTGCAGAAGCGTCGCGCTCAGCTCTTCCATGCGAAAGTCTGCGCAAGCTGCCACAAGGTGCCCGGCTACCAGAGATGGATCAATCGAACGACTCCCATCCCGGACGAACTGCAACTGTTCAGCATGACCCTCAGGCAGGATACTTTCCGCCACTGGGAGCCCTTCTACATTAGCGACAACAAGGAGCCGGTCTTCGACGAACGCGTCACCTGGGAGGGACAGTCGAACAAGCGCATTCAGGTAATTCTCTTAATCTAATCTCTTGAAGGCTTGAAGTAATAAGTTCATAAAGATTATTCGATTCAGGGTTCTCAAGCATTATCGAAACATGTTTCAAGTGGGTTAACTAAAGCAAACTGTTTTCGATTAGTCTTAAATGACCTTGCAGATATCAGGCTATAGACTTACTTTAGCTCCGATCTAGATAGTAGTGCAAACAAAGACCTTATGATTGCTTGAAGAATATCCATAACAAGTAAATATGAAAGAAAGAAGTACGATATGGATCGACTGCTGCCCATACATAAACATATGCATATACGTAGTAGAGCAAAACTCCGAATTATATCAGAATTAATGAAGATTAAATTTATGTATCTATGTATCTATGTATCTATGTATCTATGTATCTATGTATCTATGTATCTATGTATCTATGTATCTATGTATCTATGTATCTATGTATCTATGTATCTATGTATCTATGTATCTATGTATCTATGTATCTATGTATCTATGTATCTATGTATCTATGTATCTATGTATCTATGTATCTATGTATCTATGTATCTATGTATCTATGTATCTATGTATCTATGTATCTATGTATCTATGTATCTATGTATCTATGTATCTATGTATCTATGTATCTATGTATCTATGTATCTATGTATCTATGTATCTATGTATCTATGTATCTATGTATCTATGTATCTATGTATCCATGTATCTATGTATCTATGTATCTATGAATCCTTATATCTTTGTATCCTTGCATTTTTGCATCTTTGTATATATCCATCTTTTCATGTTTGTATCTATACTAAGTATCTAAGAATTTAAGTATCGAATTATCGAAGTATTCAAGTATCTGAGTATCTAAGTATCTAAATATATTAAGATGTAAATATTTAATTAGTTAAATATCTAAATATTCATTGATTAGACTCCATTCGATTGGTCCTTAATAGATTAATTACCCAATAAATCACTTTTTATATTAAAATATATTTTGTTTGTCAAGTCTAACGCTTTCTATTTCTATTTTAGGGCTATGCAATGTGCCTGCTAGGCTACGAGTATCATGTGCTGCATCCCGCTTTCCTGGTCCACAGTCCTGGCATAAAGAATTCCACACGTAGTGCGGTGCGTGCCAAATACGCCTCTGAAATGACCAGGTTTATTAAAACGAAAATCGAGCCCGAGTATCGAGTGCTCTACGGAAAAAACAAGAAATGCATAACGTGATCTAAGTTTACATATCAAATACTCTAAGCCAGTCAGACAGATAGACGATTGCCATGCAATCAAGTGATAACATTTATTAAATATTTTTAACTAATCTAAAACTTAAAATAAGAATTTAATAACCAAAGAAACTGCCTTTAGCAAAATAGCTGTGAGTCCTCGAAAGGCAAACTAATTGTTATAGATGACATTTTGGTATGGCAACCATCGCGTCAATTTGTTCCATCCAAAGGTATGCATTTATAGTTTAAGTTTAAGGAATTCTTTACTCTGTAAATTTATTCGTTGGTTAAGCTCGGGAGTGGTACTACAGGGAAAACAATATATTCCTTTCAGTTTCGTGAATGAAAAAAAAAAAAAAATTAGAAAAGCATTTAAATTTTAAATATATATTATTTTTTATTAACATTAAACGTTGTTGTTGGGAACCTATTTATATATAAACTTCTTTGCTCTTATATTACCTCAATTATATCATAATTTAATTTAGTATTAATAATATTTAAAAAAAATAAATAAATAAATAAATCAGATACAAGCCTTACAGAAAACTACTTTTATTTTTTATTTATTCTTTTTTAAATATTCTGTATGTATTAATATCTTAACAATTATAATTCTTAATATCTGCTCTGCATGAAGACAGTTCGATTAATTCATTGAGCTTCATAACAACTCTCAAATTGTTCCGATTATTTTCTGTTATCATGGTCAGTTAAACTTTTGAATCTATCTTTATTTGATACTGTCTGGCAACGCTACAGGCGAGTCAAGTTTAAAGTTCTTTGCTAAAAGCTTTTAGCAATGAACGCTTGCGCTTAATAAGCACTAGATGGCGCTTTAAGATGGAGCATGGAAATGCTAATGAAATATAAGATTACGAATATAAGACAGATAAGTGTAAAAAAATGGCAATATATAAAACAAGAAAATAAATTGGAAACACAATTTCGATGTTTAAATATATTTTAATTACTTAAAACAGGAAAAAGGGTTGGGAGAGTTGAAAAATAATTTAAAAATATATATAAATAAATAAGTTGAAACTAAAATTATAAGAAATATAGAAAAAATAAAAACAATTAGGTTAGAATAAAACGTTGATTGTTATTTGACCGAAAAATAAAAATATGATATATGTATATCTTATTGTTTTTATTTTTTATATATTTTAGTTTAAGTTTAAACTAAAATCTATTAATTCCATTATGAAGTAAAATGTCAGACAAAAGTTCATGACTTTGAAGGTATTTCTGAGCATCATCATCTGCATTTGTCAAACTTTCATCAGAAATATGTTTTATTGTGCTTAATTTCCACCATTTGTGTTTACATTTGTCCGCTGTTGATATAGAATTATTGGCATTGGGATATTTCACTGTAGTTGCATTAATAACAGGATTCAATGGATCCGAGCCATAAAGCTGTTGATATTGTTTACTTCTTACAATTCTCATAATTTGCTCAAAGGCGAGCAAAGCGAAGAAGTCATAGACAACGAAAGCTACAAAATAAATATATATATTATATATTAGGAAATAGAAAAAAAGAACGAGAGAGAGAGAGAGAGAGAGAGATAGATAGAGTGAGGTAGTGAAGGAGCTACAGAGTGAGGGAAAGAGATACAGCGAGAGAGATAGAAAAAGAGTAGAAGATACAGACAGGGAGAAAGAGATAGATAGATGGATAGAGAGAGATAGAGTGAGGTAGTGTGGGAGCTACCGAGTGAGGGAATGAGATATAGCGAGAGAGATAGAAAGAGAGTAGAAGATACAGACAGGGAGAAAGAGAGAGATAGATGGAATACGCACTTGCGTAAGCAGCTGCCGTCACAGTTAAAACTATTAGCTTTTCCAGACTAACGAAATGTCTAATAATTCGAAGGAATAAGACAGCAATTACAATGATTTCCACGATAAAAACAAATTCAAAGAAAGCCAAAGGCAGAACAAAATAACGTTTCAGCTGAGCAAAAACGAAGACAGGATGAAAAAATTTAAGGAATTTAAAATATATTTTACAGATAATACAAAAGCTCACATTATATGCACCATATCCAGCAACAACACATGCAATTCCATGGCCAATGCTATAAAGCTGCAGGAAAAATGTTGATATTTCTGGATCTAGAAGATAATATATAATATATGAACGATTAATATTGCCGTATATAAATGTAGTTTAATCAATAATTATATTATTATATTACATAAATACTAATTGTAGGAGAATAGGAATTAGCACTTTAGCTGACTACCGATACTTAACTCTAATGCTATCGATATATAACTAGAGTGTCATTGATGCTCAGCGAGGATGTCATCCAAAAAAAAAAAAAAAAAAAAAAAAAAGGTTTATTCAATTGGAAAGGCAAAACATAGACGATCACAGTAGATTCGTATACATAATTTAAAATACGATTATATAAAGCTTTTATAAATGCTTTAATATGATATTTAAAAATATAAACAAGAGATTTTAAATTTAAATAATAAAATTTCTACTTACACTGCTCAAAAAATTGTATCGTATCTCGCACCAAATAGTAGCTGGTTCTATAGCTCAAATTGTCATTAAATTTAGTGAAAAGAGAAATTCAAATCCTTGCGTCGTGAATACAGACATGAGTAGGATAGTTTTTAGCTGTTAAGGAAAGAAAATTTAAAAATATATAGATAAACATAAATTTAATATGCTAAAACCTAATTCTTAAAATTAAAATAAATTAAATAAAAAATTAGAGAAAATATATAAAATATTTAGAAAGTATTTTTTGAAAATTTATTGAGTTTATAAATATGAAATATTTTTCCAAAAAATATGTACTGAATGATAAAAGCTAAAGCATATGTATATATAATGTAGGTAAAATATATGAAAAAAAATCTGGATAATACTGGGACTCATCAATAAATTTATTAATAAAAGTGTAATTTGTATTTTAAAGCTTAAAATTGATATTTTTACGCTTTTTAATTAATATTACATATATAGTTTTAGAGTTTTTTTTCTCTTTACTTTTATTTTATTTTATTTTTTTTGAATAAATAAATATATCATTTTATTCTTTTTATTTTATATTATATTTTAATTATATTTTCTTTTATCTATGTATTGATGTAAATAAATATATATTTCATTTTTTGAAACAACAAATAATTTTTCTTTTTACTTTTATTTTTAATTATGAATAAAAAATATATATATTTTATTTTTATTTTCTATTATATCTTTTTTAAATCTATATGTATATATATGTACATATGTATGTAAATAATTATATATTTCATTTTTTGAATCATGTTTGTTCACTTTTATTTTTTAATTTTTAATTAAAATTTTTGCGTTTTTACAAATTTTTCCAATAAATCATAATTTTTAATAAATAAAAATTATTTGTAAAATCATAAAATTAAATATAAAGAAAAGAATATCAATAAAAAATAAATAAATATAATAGAAACATATAAATATTGGAAAAATCAATGTAAAATAGTTATAATCTCTTAGTGTAAATAAACAGCATAATCATAGCGTATTCACTGTCGATTTCTTATTTTACCATTTATTTTTCTAATATACATAATTATATTATTTAAAAATAAAAGAGCTTCAACAAACCAATGCGAAAATGCTGATAAGGATAACGCCCAAGCGCACTGATGCACAGAATATGTAGGTCCTCATGAACAGCATATTGGAAAGCAACTGAGAATTGCTTCTCAGGCGGACTTTGGGAACCCCTGTGAACTCCATGACGTCCAGCAGGCGAATGAAAAATTGTGACCATTGGCATTGCATTACGGACAAATGCGACGCGTGTTATGAAAGCAAGTAGTGAAATATGCAGATAGAAATCTCTACGGCTGGAACATGCTTTGTCATTTAGCCAGTCCATTGTCAGTTCGTAGTTTATTCGAGGGGAAATCGAATTGTAGGCTCATTTGGATGGCCAGCGCTGGGCCAGTTAGTTGTCTGCCATGAAATATGGCCAGCGATTTAAATTAATAAAGCCCCAAAAATGTTGTTTATGGAAAGCTATTTGTGCTATTGCTCAGTGCGTCTTGGCGTTATGAGTGTCGGTGTTTTGAGCATTGTGAGTGCAGTTCTCCCCCAGAATATAGATGTATGTATATGCGGCCTTGGATTATACCAATTTGATTTTTGCAGATCTTTTCGATAACGCTCAGCACCGTCTTCTTTGTGCGCGGTGCGCATCTGTTCGATCAACTTATCGACCTGCTCGAAAATGACTCACAGTATAAATCTAGCAACGCTGTACGAAAACTCATTAACTGGATACATGACTGTGAGTACTCCTAGCGAAAGGGAGGGGCGGAGGGCGGAGAGATGAAATTGTTAGTTTTTGTTTTTTTTTTTTTTTTTTTTTGAATGATGAGATGAAGTTTTTGATTTATAGGTAGAGTAAGTAAGAGGGTTGTTATCGTAAGTTTTAGGAGTATAAAATTTCAAATATAAAGCGAACAATAAGAGGGACTTTGGGGAGACAGTTTTGTGCATAAAATATTAATTGAAGTTGACGATATTGTTATAGATGAGAAATTGTCTTGAAAAGATTGAATGTGTTATATTATTAATAATAATTATATTATTATTTATAGTATTATATTATATTATTACAAATATAATTTATGTATTTCTCTAAAATTTAGTTAATAAACACTTCTTCCAAGTCATACCAGAGCAAATGGTATATAAGCATTTCAAATTTTGTTTGCCTTACTTAAACTTTTTTTTTCGAGTTTCTTTAAAAAACTATAGCCTATTCTAAATGATATATATATATATATTTTTAAAGATGTTGAGCAGCTGGAATTCTTTTAGATTATTATACATACATATGGGCTTTTCTCTAGGAAAACCCCTGGTATACTTTTCCCTTTTGGGTGTAATTTGCAAATGGACCAATTTTAGTGATAATAATAAAAAAGCAAATGTTTTTCTTTTTGCCATTTTTTCGCGTGCTATAAAATTAGACTTTTCTGTATAAATGCTCATATTTCCTAATGGAAAAATAAAATAATAATAATATTCATATAATATTATGTATCTAAAATTTTAGCACCTGATAATGTTATGATATTTCTGCAAGTCATGTGCTATGTTCGCATAGCCAGCGCCATATTGGGCATCATTGGAGCTTGGAGGGTATGTAGAGGATATTTTTCTATTTTTTTATTTTATTTTTTTTTTTAAGGACAAAGTTAGAAAATATTTAGATAAAAAAAAAGTTCTATTTACAAATAAAACAATAACTATTACCCAAATTTTATTCATAAATAAATTAATATAAAAATAAAAAAAATAAAAATATACCTAAATTAAGCTTAAAAGACTTTTCCAAACACGTTTCAATTATTATTAATTAAAGCATCGTTAATCGTACTTTTGTTACATTTCCACAAAGATATGTATGTAATTATTATAATATTAGCTATAATCCCTATCTGTTTCATATATAATTTAATACCTTGCTGCATCTCAAGCTCCACAAATGGCTGTTGCTGCCGTTGGCTTTTATGGAACTCGTGTATTTCCTGGGCATCACAATCAGTCACATTGTCCTGATGATTGTGCTGAAGAAGCAGATCAACCTGGGCCTACTCATTGTGCTCACCTTGGTGGGCAGTTTCTATTGTCGTGAGTGAAGCAGAATTCATATATTAATCTGTAGAGTGAAATTCATCAATAATTGCCTTTGATTCAACAGTTTTTGCTGGCTATAATTGCGTGGCATGCATTGCCCTGTTCCAAATTATAAATCTGGTGCGAAGCAACAAATATCGCCAGCTCTACGGCGAAGATCCGTTTAATCCGCTGGTCATGAGGCGTCCACGCGGCGAGGTGCAGGAGCTGCGCGTGCTGGGCACACCCGAGGACACCGACATCGATGAGCAGAAGCGATTGGCCAAGCTGGGCCTCTGGCCGCGTCGTCATCCGCAGGTAATTTCCGTCATTCCGATGCAGACGCCGGCCGTCAATCTGAAATGGTGGCAGCAGCAGGCCCTCGACAGGGATGAACAGCTCCACGATTCGGCTGTCTATCGAAACTGGCAGCGCGATGAGCTGCTGCGGGGCGTGGGCGGCGAGGTGGAGCGCAAAAATGAATTGAATCGCCGCTACGCAGAGGTGCAACACTTCCAATGGCGCTAGCTGAGCCAAAGGTGATGGGATCCATTGAAACTTATCTAAAATTGGATTGGTGATGCGACTACACTATATTTGCTTAAAGAGAGAGCTTTAAAACTTTGTGTATAATATGCAAATTTATTGCACATATAAATATATTTAATAATAAATAAATAAACAATAACCCGATTGAATTCTATGAAAAAAGAAATATATATATTTACTATTCAGGAAGAAGTTTTTAAGTTTCCAATAAGTTCTTTCTATACAATAGTATTCTGCTACAGTTAGTTGAACATTCAAATTCTATAAAGGCTTTTGTCAAAGAATACTTATAATTTTATTAATCGGTATTATATGTATAAACAAAATATATATGATATTTCTGCATAAAGTTTATAGGAAGTCTCTAATTAAAGTATTTCCTTTCCGTCGTTCCTTTAATGCTTAGCTGAACGATCATTAAATATTTACACACCCTTCACTTTACTTCAGTGCACTGCATGAGTGACCCCCACTAGGCCTGGGCGACTGAAGAAATGCTGCAGCTGCTACCCAATATATAGGACGACTTTCACTCAAACACTAAGAGGCCTTTCCAATCGAACTTTAAGTGACCAATGGGAACACTCTCTGCTGCTGCTGTCGTTAGGCAGACAGACAGAGACATTCTGTGAGATTGACAGCGATACATACAGAGAGACAACATCCACAATGCTCACACTCTTACAAGACAAGATCCAACTACAAATGTTCTCGCTCTGCAAGCGATAATTGAGTAACATTGTGTTTACTAACAGCGTCTGCAGTCAGTAGCCAGTAGCACTCCACGCTCATAAATGGATCAATCCAAATGACCAATGGCGTGTAAGCAGCTAAATGAGTGAGTGAGTTATCTAAGTTCACTCTTTGCTCGCTCTCCCATATTGTAGCTGCTTTTGCAATTATACGAAAATCACTCGTCAGACACACATACACTCACACGTTTTCTTTTTGCACTTAATGCGGGCTTTTTAAAAAGTATATCTAAATCTACTAATGCTGTTAAGTATTGCATAAATAGTTTAGCTATTCAATTTAATTTCATTATACGCACACTTATATATTTTTATTGCATTTGCTTTATCTCTTAATCCAGATAAGTTTTGCACACACACGCACATTGAATTAAAATCCACCCGAGGACAGATTTCTTGGCAGTCCCAGTCGTTAGCTTGACTTCCACTTACCTATCGCATACACACACACACACACACACACATAAGTTCCACAGCTAGCATCCACTTGTTGAGCACACTGCCAATTCGCCACGTGCCAACGCGGAGTTTGAGTGAGTCTGTTGGTAAGGCTCGACTCGAAGCATTTTTTTGGCAAGCTAATCCGCTGCTAAGCACACGGTAGATAATCAAGAACACGTAACGATAGTATTACGTGTGTCCTGTCTATGTTACGGAAATGTTTCTTTTAAATTGGCAGCCATTATGGTGAGATGTGATTATAAAATTTATATTGTGATATTAAATAGTTATATAGACGAGCGAATGCATAAACTAGAGAAATACGTGCAGCTATTAAAAAAAGTTATTTTGAATGTAGCTTATGTATGTTAGGCTATTATGAATAATTTAGCGTTAGTATACAATATAATATAGCTTCAATATTTCGCTTAAACAGTGCGTTAATAGATGCATCTGCATACTTGCATGTTCGTTAACATAGCGCTTATATTGAGTGATTGTCATTATCACTCAATTGCGCTCATTGTTAGCATTTCTGTTTAAGTCGGTTTATGCCAGGGCTCTGTTTTGAGCTAACATAATCTATCAATGCATAATATTTAAATTGAGTAATAGTAATAAATGAGTCTTTCCATTAGTCAATATCACTAACTGGCTTTTTACACTCAATTTGTCCAGAATTGTAGAGTTACAGCTGATGATTTAACTCGTGTAGTTCTGCTCAATTTATTGAATCTCTATACAACCCAAATTGTAATATAACAATATTTGCAGTTCAGTAGTTCTCTGGTTTACTTGGCAACCAGTTAATTTTATTCATTTGGCTTAAATTTGCGAATTTCATCAAACTTGCAAGCATTGCGACGGAATTCAAATTTATTTATTATGCATAATTGAGTTGCCAACTTTGTGCTTGGGGTCTATACAAAACAATTATTTGCTGGCCCAGTTTTGAGTCTCCGATGACGCAGCAGTTCGACTGATAGACTTCTGTTTTAAAGGCATTGGGGCTGTGGGCGGTGGGCGGGGCTAAGAAAAGTTTTAATTAAATTAGTGTACAAGTTGGCAGCACTGCAGCTGGATAACTGTAACTGTCAACATAGCGCCGAATTCTCTACGGGCGCCGCCTATGTGACCAGAGTGCGTTTGTGTGTGTGTTTTAGAGTGTGTGCAGACAGACATCGAAATTGACTGTATCGTCTAGCTCACGCTCTCGCTCTGTCGCTCTCTCTTCCGTTCTCCCGTTCTTCTGCTCTCTTCTGCCTGAATGCTGCCATCAGCAAGTGCCCGGGCGCTGTTGCTAGACACTTTGATTTTTCGTTTGGCATCCACAATAGTCCAGAAACTTTTCGCATCTCCCCTTTATCTGAACGCTAAGCATTTGACGGCGAAGAAGGCAAGAGGCAAAAAGCATTTGCAAATCGACCTCCCCACTCAGCTCACGTTCTCATACCCTTTACCATTTACTCTCTCACTCTCTCCCTCTTACGCTCTCTTTTATTCCACCGGATATGCAAAATGTGCAGCGTGTTGTCGACTCGACGCTTGACAATCCCAGACAGTTGCATAATCTGTCCTGCCGTTTATGCAAAGTGGCCCAAAAAGAATAGAAACGGTAGAGAGAGAGAGAGAGAGAGAGAGAGAGCGATAAAGGGAGAGCTTTGAGCGCAAGAGCATGAGTGGGATAATGCTAAGAGGTGTCTGAATTGTTAAGCTACAGCAAATGCAGCACAAAGCGAAATCGAAGTTTTATTGAATAAGTTGATAAAGCATGCCGCAGCTTTTTTTTTCGTTCCATTATATGCTCAGCCACAATTTTATTGTAGTTTTATAAGACTCTTATTGCGGCTCATACTTAAACTTGCCAATAAATAAATAACAAAAACAAACAAAAAATATTTAAACTTAAAACATTTTTGCAGCTCTTGGAGAAAAGAGAAAAATACATATACATATGTAGGTATCGACATACATATACATTTAAAGTGCATAGAGAGAGCTTTTAAATCAAAGAGTGGACTTGGTGTGAGCGTAACAGATAATTCACTCATTTCGCTGCTTCGACGCCTTACCGAGACGTTTTGATCCCGTTTTGTGTGTAGGGTATAGTTGCTTGAAGAGAGTGAGCATTGGAAAACGTCTGCTGTTGGATCTCGTTTGTCGATGCAAGAGTGTGGGCTCTGTGTATGTTGTGAGCGCTCCCATTGCATTGTGCCGCGTATAAGTTGTGTTTGTATGGTGTGAATGCCGGCTGAGCGCATGAAGGCACTTGATGGAACGATTCAGTTTGTGTGCGTTTGTCGTGCCGATCAGGTTAATTGTTGTTTGACTTGAGTGTCGGTGAAAATATTCGTTTTCTTTAAAATTCAAATAATACAATAAACGTAATACCAATTATATCATTTAAGGTAGCTAAGCTTAACTTTTTGGCGTCATTGAAGTGACTTTAAAGGTGTTGCAATTTATTTATTTATTTTTTTGTATGTGTGTGTGGAAAAGAAACAAAAAATGGCGCTCTTTGCCATGTGATCCGCATTCGCCGCAGAAGACTAAATCGCTGCAGGCGAGAGTGATAGAAGGAGAGCGGTGAGTTATTTGAATTTACCTTTTGTATTTAATACGCAGCTTTCATTTTAGTAATTGGAATTCACGTAACCTACTCGTCTAAATTATTTGGCCTTTGTTGATATAGTGTTGCATGAGTTTTGTGGCTGTAATAGAATTTTTAATGTCTATATTTTTTATTTGAAAAATATTTTTTTATTACAAAATAGGGTTGAATGCCTTTTGGAAGCTTGCACAAAATACATATTATTTGTACGACATAATAGGAAAGAATAGGAAAAAATATGTTCAATGATAGTCAGTTATGCACAACTTGTATGCTCCAAAGCTTGCCAAATGAAAGAAATATGTGAATATGTTTATATATATGTATTTATTTTTCACACTTTACATTAAATTTATTGAAGTAGTCAAAGAAAAACTAATGCTATTGCTGCACACACTGCAGTAAAATACCAAAGTGCTGTGAGCCCAAGTCGTAGAGCGTAAGATCAAAATAGTCGAGTTCAGTGCAGCTCAAATGGTGGGCAGATGATGTTCGGTGCGATGCAGCATGGACGCATTCTTGTTCAAAGGCTGCAGCTTCACAAAGTCCTGATGCGTATGATGGTGATGAAGATGCTGGTTGCTCGGCAGTAGCGGCAACGAGGTGTTTGAAGTCTGCGAGAAATTTAAGAAAAGTACAATTAGATAGTGATTTACATTTTAATTTAGCAAAATATCACTCAAAATATATAATGAAAATATAGTTTTTTATACTTTGAGTCTTCTATAATAAAATAAATAACTAGTAAGTAAAGCAAATGATTTGAATTATTTGAATTTATTTTTATAATTAATTTTTGTTTTTAATTGATCATAGTTCAGTTGAGATTAAAAAAAATTAATTTTTATATTTTATATTTTATACATTTAGTTTAAATTATTATATGTATTGAAAAAATAAAATAAATAATAATAATAATAATAAATTTGTATACATTAAAATTTATTTTTATAAAAATCAATGAATTCGGGATATAAATTATTAAAATCAATTAGCAATCGATTTCAATTTTTAGTATTTTTTATACCCTGAACCCATTTTCAATGGGAAATCAGGGTATAATGGTTTTGTTGAAATGTATGTAACAGGGAGAAGGAGGCGTGGCAGACCCCACAAAGTATATATATTCTTGATCAGGGTGACGAGCTGAGTTGATTTGGCCCTGTCCGTCTGTCTGTCCGTCTGTCCGTCTGTCCGTATGTATGAACGCGTCGATTTCAGAAGATATAAGAGCTAGAGACTTCAAATTTTTTTTAAAATGTCCGTAATTACAGCGCGCACATCAAGTTTATCATTAAAAATCGATAACTCATCTCGATCTTTTTTTATCGATAAAAAACCTTATCGAAACCCAGTTATAAAATTATATCTTCTACACCTTTATTGCTAGAGTCTCCAAATTTTTAATGTATGCTTATATGCAATTTATACAATTTCGGTTTTTGTTAAAATTTACCCCCCACCTCTAAATTCACCCCCTCACCCTCACTTTTGTAAAAAGCGTATTTCAAATACTAGAGACTTGTGCTTTGGCAATTACATGCATATTCATGTTATAATCATAATCTAAAAGTTTCATGAAGATCGTACGTCCATAAAAAAAGTTATTAAACAATTAAGTTCTCATAGTAAGCGCACACTGCAGCCCATGCGTGTTTATGCGTGGTTGCTTGTATGTGTATGTGTGTGTGTATGTGTGTGTGTGTATGGGTTTGTGTCTGTATGCGTGTGTGTGTGTATGTGTGTCTTTATGAGTGTGTGTGTATGTTTACCTGTGTGTGCGTACGTGCGTGTGTGTGTGTGTGTGTGCGTGTTTCTTGTGTAAGCTGAAAGTCGCGAAAAAGTATTGAAATATCTATTGCTCCAAGGGTTCAGGGGATCTCGTAGTCGAGCAGTCTCGACTAGAGCTTTCTTACTTGTTTTTTTAATGAAATAAATTTTTAAATTTAAAATTATATAAAATATACAATTTGATTTCATTTAATTAAAATGTGAAATTAATGGTTACGTGTCCTACCTTATGAATTTTTAAAAACTTAAATTATTGTATTCGCACCTTTGATTTATCACGCGCCGCTGCAATGGCCGCTGCCTGAGCCGCGCCCGTCTGCAGCTGTTGGGCGGCGGTGGCCAGCATGAATTGCTGGGAGGCGATCTGCTGCTGCCGCAGTGTGGCCGCCTCGAGGCTGTTGATGTGATCCAGTTCGCGCTGTTTGGCCGTGTAGTCATCGAAGTAGGAGTGCTTAATCAGCTTTTCGCAGGACCAGCGCTTGGCTGGGTCCTTGTCTAGGCACTTCTTGAGCACATCGATGGTAAGCGGATTTTGCAACGCCTTTGCTGGCATTTTATCCTCGAGCGGCTCCAGCGTGGGCGGCACGGGCAGCGTTATGCCTTTAAAGTATTCATTCTGTCCAAAAATCTGTATGTGGCGCGGCAGCAAATCCCCCAATGTTTTGCGTATCAAATACAGCTGATCCACATCGCTGCGTCCCGGCCACAGCGCTTCGCCCCGAACCAGCTCCGCAAACAGGCAGCCAATCGCCCACACATCCACGGGCGTTCCATATTGCGTATCGCCCACGAGCAGCTCAGGTGCTCGATACCAGCGCGTCGCCACATAATCCGTATAATTCTCGCCCGGACTGAGCATGCGGGCAAAGCCAAAGTCGCACAGCTTCACCTGACCCTGGGCCGTGAGCAGTATGTTCTCTGGCTTGATGTCGCGATGCAGACAACCCTGTTTATGGCAATACGCCACGCCCAACAGTGTCTGATAGCAGATCTGTTTGGTCAGCGGCTCGGGACAGCCCTGCGGATGGCGTTCCAGCTCGTGCAGCACTGTCAGCTCACAGAACTCAAAGACCAAATGCAGGCGACGCTTGCGGCGAAACACTTCCAATAGGGATACCAGATTCGGGTGTTTCAGGTTCTTCAAAAGTAAAAGAGATAAATGGGGGATTATTTTATAACTGCATAATATATATGTTATGATATTTAATGTAATTCTAAATTTTATAATATATCATAAATAATACCATTCTACAAAAAAAAAAAAAATTATCAGTAAGCTCTTAGAATTGTATCAACAATAAATAATAATACGGATTAAATTTTATTTTTATAGCAAGACTTCATTTCAAATTTATTATTGCAGATGAATATATTAGTATATTTAATTATATAATTTATTTTTTCTGTTAATATTTCGAATTTATTTTACAAATTTATTTGGAATTTTTTATTGTATCTCAAATATTTTATATATTATTTATATCAATTTTTTATATTTGAAGACTTCAAGTTTATTCAAAATTTCTTTAGGAAATTCTGTTAGAAAAAGTAAATTATATATTAATTTTAAATTATTTTTTTCGACATAGCATACGAGAAAATTCGTACAAAAATCACGTAAACTGTTGATTAGCGATTAAAATAATTCTTTAGAGCTATATTAATTAATTAAAATGATTAAGTCATATTTTTATCGAAAAGTTTGTTTCGATTATTGAGCTATATAAAAAGTAAAAAGTAAACAAACTATGTTGATCTGTCTTTATCTATTTATCTGTCTCTTTCTATCTCTCTGTGCTGATCATAGTGTGATCAGACGGCAACCAAAGAGACTCATAGAAATAGAGTAGTTGGATGTGAATTACAGTAAATTTTAATTATATTTACACTCAACAGAAAATTTGTAGCCTGAGTGTAAAAATCATTCAGGCGACGAACCTGAGTCTGGACAAGCAATACGCATATACAAAATCAAAAATCTATTAAATATACATGAAGCTAAATATAAAAATTTTGAGAATCTAGATTCAAAGGCAAGCACTAGATAATTGAATAGCTGTAGATTGAGAGGAAAAGATAATTTTCAAATGCGAAAGGTTATAGTTATATTATAATTTATATATATAGTTATTATATAATTTCTCACCTCTTATATATAAACTCACCTTTAGCAGCCTTATCTCTCGCAATGCTATTTTCCGTATGGCTGGATCGTCTTCAGACTCGACAAATCTTTTGACGGCTACAAGTGCGCCCGTTTCCCGATCTCGACATTTGTAGACAACACCGTAGGAGCCTTCGCCTAGGCGACTGAGCTTCTCATAACGATCCATTTTGCTGCTACCTTGTGGTCTGAAATTGATATAAACATCAATTCAAATTGTAAACTCTATAAATCATATACAGATATACATAAACATATACATATACATATACATATAGTAAACATTTAATAGATAGACATTTAGTTTTGAATAATTTAGCTTTACCTTAGACTCAAACATTGACCACGTTTGATGTTTGCACGACGCATTGCTTTGCATTGAGTACATAGAATGCTTAGGATGCTATTGGTTTGACACGCACACATGAGAGATCAGAGACACATATGTGGCATATATGAGCAGTGATCATTTACTTGATGTTCTTTACTATTTACAGTTGTGTCAATTTTGTCAATTTTCGATTATTGTCCAAAAGTTGATTTTGCTTTGATGAGGTTACGTTTCTGATTAATTGTGTTAGTTTTGTTTTTGCTTTTTGGATGAATTTCTTTTGCAACGAAAACGAATGAGATTAGAAAGTTTAAATGAGTTATTGAAATGGCAGTGAATACGTTTGCAAAGCGAAAGTAGAGTAAATACAAATATTTTGTGCAGATAATTGTTTGAGTTTAATGTATAAATTTTGATACCCTGAAACGGGAAATCAGGCTATAATGCTTATAAATAATAATTGGCTCCATTTATAGGTTGTGTTGAGGGAAACTCCTATATCATCATATCGCAAAGCTTATTTGTTAATTAAACATTCTTTTAACGGTTCAATTTCCCTTACTTCTATTCAATTTTAAATTATTTATAAATTTATTATTATATATTTATGCAATTCAATATCTCCACTGGGTCCTATTGGTTTCAAAAGATATTAAACTGTTTTATATCGAGCTATATATTTGCATATA